TTTTTTTTTTTGTTTCTAATTGTTTCATTGTGTAGGTTTCTACAGACACAGCAAGCTAAAATGCTTAGAAATTCATGGGTTGCATTTTCAGCCAGTGTGTTGGTTGACATCAGTTTTAGCTGTTCCATCGAGGAGTTTTTGTGAAGGCTGATTTGATTAAAACAGCCAGCATATTTTCACAGTTGTTGGTCAGTCTCATCCTAGAAAAGATGTCAAGTTTTTTCCTACCCAGTTTTAGATCTTGGTACTTAGATTGGATTGTTGGTGAGATAAGTCCAGCTTATTATGTGAAAGCTTGACTCTATGCAACTGTACTTACACAGTCTAAGTCATTTGCTGCTGCCATGGGAGAAATCAGAGCTTTGAGATATTCTGTCTTCTTTTTGAAAAGGAGCTTCTGTGTGTTGTGACTGTGCTATAAATGCTGGGAAGAGGGAGTAACCATGACCCTGAGATGCTCTGGGCTTTCCATGAGAACTCTCTGTGTGAAGAAGAGTTACAGAGCTGCTGACCAGCGTCGGGCTGTGCCCATCGGTAGGCAGCTGGGCTGGACAACTGCTGCCAGCCTGTGCTCCTGTGGGGACTGGAATTCCATGGGAACAATGCCAGATCTGCTCCTTCAAGTGTTTATCCCTGGGCATGTATGGTGTTGGTTATAGGGCGAATGCTCCACAACCAGTTGTGCACTGTTGAAGCATATATGATTCACCATAAACTTGAGATGATTCACCCGCACACACACATCTTTTATACAGATTTCACTCTTTTTGAAGGGGCTAAGATTTGTACTTCAAGCTTTCTCAGCCTGTTTCTCAGCATATGGCCAAAGGGTTTATGAGGCTATGAAATGGGCATGAAAAAGGCTTCGTGTTTCATGGAAGTGTTGTGTGGTTTGAATAGTTAATGCGTGCGTATGCATATTCAGAGCTTCACATCAAAAGCACTTGCATATCATTTGTGTGTAAATACAGGTTTCTACCGCTATATAGATAGCTAGTATCACATTATTTCATATTCCCCTACTTCCCTGTGGGGTTTGCAGGTAACAGTAGTCAAAAAATAATGTGATTTTCTATTTTTATAGGGACTCAGCAGTTAACGTTCGCTGCCAGTCAGACTCCTTTTCATGTCTGGCAGCTCCACAGAACTTGGGTTGTGTGACTAAATTGTACTCATATGAAGCATGCCTTTAAAATGGGAATGGCTGTTCAACAGATTAGGACTCCTAGGATCCAAGTACTTAAGGTGAACTTAAAAAAAACCCCCACTGAATCACCTACTTATATAGGTTAAAAAAACCCCACAGCCCCCCAAGCTTCCCCCCTCATCCCATGTAATAGATATATTTAAAGTCAGTCTGTTGTTCAGCTGACACTTTGAGTAGTGTAAGTGGCTGCAGCCAGCAGTAGAACTCCTGCCTTACCAGCATTCACAGACACCTTTTCCTTTTTTGCTACGTGGGTTTTCATCTGGATCCGTTTTCTGATCCACTCTGTTCTGTGGCCACCAAATCCTTGTGTTTACAAGGAGTAAAGGTGAACACTTGGGGGCAAGGGTACTTAGGACTGTAGCTTGAGGGTTGACTTGTTAGACAAGAAGTCACAGAAATTTTCTGAGACTCCCAGATTAATATGTTTACTGTAAACAATTCCTTTTTTACTGTTCACAGTTAACTATCTTTGCCTTTATTTGAGCAGGAGCAATATTGACCTTTTTGGCTTCCAGAAGAGAACAACTTGGCTAATTGCAGTATTTTCTTGATCAGTGGTTGCATTGTGCCCTTGCTTGTGCTGTTGAGGGCAGATGTTGGGTAAGATGTTGCTCATCTTACCCAAAATGATAGATATATTTTGAAGAAACACACATACACACCCTGTGTGTGTATATACACATAAATATACTGGGGTTTAAATACTGTAATATAGGTGACGATACTTCACATACTTAGCACCCAGATAATTTTTAGTAGTTGTAATTTTAGCCTTTTGATCTCACCTGTTAAGCATTTAAGTATTTTAAATAAACTCAGTTATTATGCTGGGAGTTGATAATTGGGTTTTCTGAAGTGCTTGTCCCAGCAAACAAATCAGACTTTTTATAGTTTGGAAAAGGAGTCTTAGCAGTAAAAATTAGAATGAATTATATTACTGGTGCATGATGGAAGATTTGATAGTTAGGAAATTAGACTAATAAAACCCAAATGTAGCTAACAAAGATTTAGTGAAGGAAAATGAGGAAATGCCCTTCAACCTGTGTGTTGTTCTGTACAGGCAACACTGATGTAGATATGCAGAGATTAATCTGGTCAAGATGAAACTAAATTACCATGGAGTAGGAGACTTTTGAATGCTTTTTATGCTTCCATATTAAACACAAGGTCAACATGTTATAGACAAAGGGCAGGTCTGCCAAAAGAAAACACACCGAAATATTTCTTAAATAGTATTAGAGAGAATGGATGTTGTGCACTGTCACAACACGTCTCAAGAAGGAAAAACCTGAATGTGATGAATAAATGAGCTAATCTTATTGCAGGTAATTTATTACTGTGATTAGTGCTATATAGTCTTTCCTTGGGATAGAGGGAAGAAATGGACGAGATTTCCTCTTGCTACTGCCCTTCCTTTGCGTGGGCCTGGCTTTTGGTGTGTTTGCCTTTTGGTGAGTGGTGTTGCTCATTGATAGCTCCTGAGCCAGCACCAGAAAGCCAGAGCAAAGAAATACTGTTTGGTTTCCCTACTGATTTCAGGTGCCTAAATAACATCTAAAGTGTTACACTTACCCGTTTTAATAATTACTGATGCCACCGTTAGTTTGTCTTTGTGTGCCCTGTGTGTCTTCAAAGTAAGCCCTTATTTTTAAAATGTCAAGAGAAAAGAAACGTTGACTTCAAGCAAAAATGTTCCAGGCTTAATTGGGCATAATATCAGCAAAATGTGCTGGTTTTCAAGTCTATCAAAATAAATGAGAGAAAGTGTAAAGCTCGGACATGCATCCAGTAAGATGAAAAGTTTTCTCTGCTAAAACAGGCAAATGTTGATAACTTGGCAGAAACCTGAACTTAACTGCTCCATCCTACTTCTCCGATAATATTATCACATCTACTTTGTTTGGGGGGATTGATAGTTATGACAAGTGTATCAAATTTCATGCTGGTGGTATCTTTTATGTTTCCTGGGAGAGAAGAAAATAGCAATTCTATCTTGTGCCCGGGAGTCACAGAGAGCAGGAATTGTAGGTACCTGCCACATCGAGTTTTTAAATAGAAATGAATTGCAGAGCTGCACGTAGCACAGATGGGGAAGAGGAGGGAAGAGGGAAAGGAGTGAGGCAAAACCTGTAGAGGAGCATTTATTGCATCTCCCCAGATTTTATTCTAAAGCAGCACTGCAGAGAGCTAAGTGTATGTACAATCTGTATTTTGTTCAGACATGAGGTGTCTGTGAGAAAGTCTGCTTGGTTCTTCCAGGGGATTTGTATCTTTTTGGTTTTCTATCCAGAATTAGCTAATTTTGCTAAAATGATATTTGTATACATACCTTGTGTAATTCCTGTTTCTGTGCTGTAAATATTGAAAAGCAGAGGGTTTTGGCTGGTTCCCTGTGAGTCTTATTTATGGGAAGGTTAATCACGTTATATATACTTGCAGCTTTACTTTGAAGCTTACTTTAAAAAAACCCAAACAGTTTTAAAAGTTGAAAGGCAAGTTTTAAACTAGCAAAGCCACTTCTATTCAGTAGAACTGTATTCACAAGAAATGCATGACATCTGATTTAGTCTTCCTTGAGACAGATGTTGTGAGTCCCCAAGCTGGAAGATAGACCCATAGATTTCCACATATATTTTGCTGCCTTTATGGAAAAAAAACCCAAGACAAACCCCTCAAAAAACCAGCACAACAAACCCAACCTTTTCTAAATGATTATTAGGAGTAAACACCAAAATCAATGATTTGGTATGAGACTGGGAAATCAAGCTTATGGTGAAGGCAGTAGAAGTTAGCTTTGATGCAAACTTAGGTGCGATTTTTGGCAAGTCACAATGGGACAGATTTTGTAAAAGAACCTAACTTCTGTGAAGACATCACAGTATGTGACTATATTTTTAAGGGAGCTCAGCACCCAGTATGTTTATTTGGAAAACCTGGCAGTGATTGCTGGTACCAAGTGCTTGAAAATCTGTTTCTGAGCTCCAACAATCTGGCTCTGTGGGCATGAGCCTCCTTCCAAACAGTGGTATCAGTTGCCCTGCACTGAGGTGAGCAAACCTGCATTCTTTACCTCTGACTGTCATGGTAAATGAATTAACCACATTTCCTTTTTCCTGCTGTGTTGTATTTGGCTGCGTTGTATGGTTTCTTCTACTCGTGTACGTCTTACAGAAACGAGATGCTGCTTTAACATAATAACAATAATAATAATATGAAAGTACACTGCAAATGAATTGATGCTTTGGAGGACAGACTAGGTGTGGAATAAATGCCACTGGAACACAAATTAATCCAAATAACAGCATACTCTAAAAAACAACAGCACCAGCAGTCTAATTCAGTACCTTCAGGACATACTGGTGAGGCATCCTTCGGGCTCTGGTCACCTGCCCACTGGGACAGCCACATATCTCACTGCAGGGCACTCCTGGGGATGGGGACTGGGAACTGCTGACCCTGACCCAGTCCCATGTCAGATTTTAGGCAAATCTTAATTCAGCAGTGGTGGTTTATGCCACCGTTGGAGCTGGTTTGTTTCCTACCAGCTTGTTTTGTTTAACTCTGCAGCGCAGGCCCTTTATTATGACATTGCTTTGTGTGACTTTCCTTTACATTTTACACAGTTCCATTCAGTGGAGGAGAAGCAGCTTTAATGCCTTGTGCTCAACATGGAGGTGCACACAGATCTCGGGTGTTTGGTTCTGTCACTGCTGGCTGTCTACTTATTGTGCCGGCATTGCTGGTGTGGGAGGAAAATGTGCTAATTAAGTCCTCTTTTTTGTTATTTCAGGAAACCTACCATATGAATATAAAATAGTGATTGCTGGGAATCATGAACTGACATTTGATAAGGAATTCATGGCAGACCTTGTTAAACAAGATTACTACCGCTTTCCCTCTGTGTCCAAATTGAAACCAGAGGACTTTGACAATGTTCAGTCACTCCTGACAAATAGTATTTACTTACAAGATTCAGAGGTAACAGTTAAAGGATTCCGAATATATGGTGCCCCGTGGTAAGTCTCAATTTAAACTTTCTTTGCTGTTTATTACTTGAACCACAGCAGGAATCGTTCCTGTTGAACGTGCATGAAGCTGCTTTGTTGCATTGCCCTGCAGAACAGTGTCAAACTTGGCTGTAAACCACCATGAAATAGTTTCTTTTTTTTTTTCCTCCTTTTTTTTTTGTATGTGTGTATAAATAATCTCTATTTAGCCATATGTGTGAAATAAGACAAAAGGAACTGTGACTATTCCTACCTGCTGAATGGACTCAATGCCCACCCTCTGCTCGTGGATTAACTGCAGTGGCATCTGAGTATGTATTAGGGAAGCTCCATTATATTCTGTGCTGTTGGGGTATTTATGTCTGCTATGCTAATAGATTAGTGTGGTAGAATTTAACACCCACACAGCACAAGGTACAAGGCAGCAGGTGCTTTTAAGCCCCGTTTTTTGATCAGTTCCAGGCATTGTTTTCTTTTCCTTGCAAAGTTGTGATAACAAAATTTCAAGCCAGTTTTGGTGTCATTCCATCCATGTGTCAAGCATGTCATGCAGGAAAAATTTGCTGTCCCATTTTGTACTAAGGAGATTCTTCCTTGGTTTTTCTACATGCCATTTAACTGTGATGCCTGACATCTTTCTGTGTAGTCTTGGGTAGCACTTGTTTAAAATTCTCATGCTAACAACAGCCACAGTCCTTTCAGGCTTTACCAGAAACCTGAACTTGAGTGATGGTGATAATCATTCTGCTGCTTGGCATTCTCAATTGTCAGCTGAAGTACTGAGATGCTAATTTATGCACACCTATAAGAAGGGTTTATTATAAGCTTATAACTTATTTTTGATGTCAGCCTTGCTTTAAAGGTGAAAACAGGAGAGGAAGGAGGAATGACAGGAGTTGAACCAAGAAATGGGGCAAACCTATACATATATTAGAAATTTTCCCCTTCATCTCGTTTGTTGTCATCTCATTCATCTCTGTTGTCTTGGCCCGCAGATTCATGTAACACCACACACATTGATGCTTCTGACAGTGCTTTTTTCTGGTCATATTGTGTGCATTAGTGCTGGCTAGAAAACTGATCTAGCTCTGTGTCTCACATTTTTGACTTGAGCTACTAATTTTTTAATTTCAGTTGTAGCCTTTAGCTAGTAGTTTAAATCAGCCTGACACTGGTTAACTAAAAAAAAAAAAAGTAGTACTCTAAATCCTGCATTATCAGCAAATTGGGAAAGATGATCTTAATTCAGGTTAAGAATCATCTCCTCAAGACATTTTGAAGTAATTTCTTTTTTTTTTGGTAATATCAGCACAGAAGGCAGGGCACGTAAGGCCTTGGGTAGAGTGAGGTGGATTTGAGGAGGTTTGCTGCAAGGTAAGGAGCTGAGGAGGGTTAGGTGCTAAGATTAAGAGTGTTCAGCTTCTTTTGTATGTATGTCTCAGACTCAGAGGGCTTCTGCAGCCATCCAGTGATTAGGAAGTGTAGGCATCTTTTAAAATTTATTTGGGTCAGATTTACCTGAACTCAGCTTGCTTACAGCACTGCTGGAGAGATCTGGAGAACGCAGAATCCCTGTCTGGGGAAGAGAGAGTTTGGTATTCTGAAATGGAGAACTGTGTGACATGCCTTTACATTTACATTTACATGCACAGGCAATATGTAGTGCTCTTTTTTGTCCTCTTTTGCTTCCCAAATCTACAATGGAAATCTGTTACCCTTTTGCCTCCAGCTGCATTTAGAAGTTCTTTCAATTTGCAGGTGTACACATGGATTTAGAATGTTTGTTCTGAAATATTAAGGGACATCACATCAAGGTACGGAGTTGTTTTAGCCGTAAAAAGTGAATGGCGTATGCATTCTGACCTAGTCATGGAAGACAAACCTGAATTATCCTTTCCTATAATCCATTGATAACTGGATTTTTCCGATTAGTGATGCATGACAAATGCAGCTAGATTGCTGGAAATGCACACTGAACTCCAACCAAGTGCGGATTTCTCTCTCGAAGGATGTTTCGTTTGTGTTCAGCTGTGAAAAACTGTTGTCAAAGCATGTTTTGAGCAACTGTTGGTGTGGAATTGAGGCTACTGTTTTCAGCAGAGCTTTTTAGATCAATCAGCCAGTTTGTGTTCAGAGCATAAAGATGTAGTATTGTCTATACATTCTCTCTCGTTTTTTTCTTTTTTTTTCTTTTTTTTTTTAAATAATGACGGTTCCTAGAAAATGTGAAAATTCAACCAGATTTTTGCATTTTAGCTGCTGTTTGAGAGGAAGGAAAAGTCACATCAGATATTAGAAAAACCTGCTCTAATTCTGTTCTGTGCCTGGAAACTGAGACAGAATGATCAGAGAAGCCTGTTAGCACTTCTTAAATTTTTTTTTTCCCTTTCCCTTCCAATCACATCTCTCTCTACTTCTATAAATCTTCAGACTACCCCAAAGGAAGAGAATTTGTGGGGTTTTGTGTGTATTTATGGGCTCCTTACCTCAATTAGTTCTGTCACAGAAATGGAACACTGGTCATTAACCCAGAAGATGCGCCAACCCTAAAATGAGATAAGTTGGCGTGTTCAATTTATGTGCAGTTTTGTAAGTATTTCCAGAGGGGAAAAAAAAAATTCTCATTTGCTGATAAAGCTACTGGTTTTAATTTAAAAAAGAGGGATCAAACCAAGAATAACAGATGTGATTCTGGAGGTTTCAGCCTGTCAGGGGTTTCTAAGAAGTAATTGCCAGAGTACTGGGAAGGCTGGCTATAAGTAATCTATCTAGAAAATGTAAATTGCCAACTCAGTGTAACTACAGAAAAGAAATATCAGTCCATATTCATTACATGTTATTACTCGTGGTACATCTGAAAGCTTTCTAAAGACCTCAGAGAATTCAAGTGGTGCCTCCTAACTTACAATTTAGCAGAATTTGTGTGTAAAAAATAACTTACAATACACGGGAGTATTCATGTGTATTTGCAATTGGAATGTGCAGTGGTGCATAACAACAGCCTCTAAGGAGCAGAAAATTTGAATTTAGCCCTATGGTTCTGAGGGTATTTAATGGCATTAGCTGGAAGGAAGTTGAAAAGAAGAGTATCAGCCCCTAAAAGAGAAAAGTGCCAGGGTGGGACATAAATCACATTCAGAGCTCTGTTCATTTTCAGAGGTGAAGAATGTAACTGACATTTTCACACCTTAAATAGGAGATTCTTTGAAGTACCTTGAAGGAGCAAAATGGCTGAAGATTTTCCATTTGGTCTATAGATAACAATCCACAAAAACAGTCCCCTCCTTTCTCTTCCTTCTGACTTTGTGCTATGAACCTGCCTTGTTTGGTGGGGAAATAATTGATAGTTTATGCAGTCAAAACTCTTAAAGATCCCAACGCAAATATTTTCTTCTTGGGAAATTTGAGATTGAGGCTACTTATTAAACAGGACAAAAAAATACAAACAGTGATGATAGATGAAAATTTAAATTTTAAAATTGCCTTTGTGAAGTAAATGTGAGTACAAGTCATACTGATGTATCTGTGAAAGAGTAAGGAGAGACAGTCTTTTTACTGCAGCTTCAAGTGCTGAATATGCATAAGTGAATAAGTTTTATTTAAATTCAAATGTTATTTTAAAATATGTCTGGGTTTTTTAGATTATATTTGAAATTGTTCATCCATGCTAAGCACTGAATTCACTATAGTATGCTGTAGACATTTGGATACAAATATTCTCACAATGTCTGTTTTCTAATGAAGCTTTAAAAGCATTCAAACCACCAGAGAACTGCAGTTAACTGGAGCCAGAATTTGTTTAAACCACATTTTGACAGAAACAATTGTTCAGGGAGAATATTTTTCACTGTTTTATTTTGTTCTGCTGATCAGCTCTACAGGTAGCTTTTTTTTTTTTTTTTTGCTTGTTTGAAAGAGAAAAATAGTTAAAAAGAAAAAGTATTCCGATGAAGTTTATTTTGTGTGCAGAGAAATTTATAGCAGTTAATTTTATGAATAATGAGGCAATAGGCTTATTTGTGGATTTTAAATTCTGTTCCACATAAAACTGTCAAAAAATTGTCAAAAGCTGTAAGTATAAAATAATCTCTCTAATAAAGCAATACTTTATGTAATTTTTAGCTACGAAAATATATAAGCGAATGTCACCCATATCTAGCAGAAAGAAAAGTAAAGCTAAATATCTGGGACTTTCAGGCTATATATTTGTTTAGATATCTGTAGCTAGATGTATCTTTTTGAGGGAAAAATGTGTAGTATAAAAGCTAATTCAATATAAATCAATGCGTGTTAATGGTTAACGGAATCAACTTTATGGGAATAACTGAAAAGCACCACAAAGGTAAGAGATGACAATCGATTATTTAAATAATGACTGAAATCTGTGATTTGCATCACTGTGATGAAAATCAATTCATCCTGAATGGAGCTAGGAATAAAGCTCTTCCCTCCTGACAGGAACAGCAGCATTGTTCAGCAATATCCTGCGCGTTTGTCAAGTTGTAGCTTGTTCAGGTCTCAAGAACAGAAGCACAAAGCTGGCCTCCCAGTTGCTTTTAATGAATACTAGTGGGTTTTTCCTATGTCCAAGAATTTGATCTGTAGGGTGATCCAGAGGTCAAGAACAAACGGCTCACTATCACTCACCTCTGCGAAGCCAAGGCTTTCATTTGCTTTTTTTAGTAACTCTAGAGGAAGTGCCTTAACTCTTTTTCAGAAGCAAAATTTTAATTGGCATAGATAATGCAACCTTAAGAAAGTCGAGACAGCTTCAGCCATCTCCTTTAAAAACGATGTTTTGTGCAGTCTTTTCCTCTTCTTTTTAGACCTGTGGTAAGTTTGGGGGTCTCATCAAATGGTTTTACATCAGTTTGAAATTATTTTTCTTACTCTGTTTCTTTCTCTGCTTCATTTGCAGTCATATTTTAGTAGCTCTAAGTTAGTACCTTTGCCTTGTTCTGATCAGTGTTTTCAGACCCTATCAGTTTATCCTGTCAGAAAAGTGTCAG